CTTCTGGGATGAGGACCAATGAATCCAACTTATAGAAATCCTCCTTTTAGGATTGTGTTTCTTTTCCCAGTTCTTTTATTTTTTTATGACAGAATTCTGGATGCACTTAGAAAACATTTTGTTGAAGAAAAGTGTCTGCCACAGCAGCACTTTCATTTCTTTAGTGGTCTATACCTCCTCTCTCTTTCTCCCCTCTTCATTCTACCCTGCCATTCTTCGATTCACTTGCTATTTATTATTCCTGAGTGCAGATTCTGCTGAGTGCTCTGCTAGCTGCAAAGATGTATCAGAAATGTTTTCTCGAGAGAAGGGAAATTTATCAAAGGATGTTATGCCCAGAAAAGCTATGCGGAACAGAACACCTTACTTTTCCAGAGGCCCTGCCTGGTCCAGAAAACAGAAATGGCTGCAAGAATGGATAAGCTGGAAATAAGCAATAAAAACCAATATGCAGAATAGGTGTTCCAAAGTCCATGTTTTAAAATTGAAGTATTTACCTCCCAAAAGCCGGGTATTTCTCCAGAGTTTGTATGATCTTGGTTTGGCTAATACTTGGTTGTCTAAAGGATTCCAAGGCCAACCCGAAGGGAGATGATTAGGAGTACACAGGCTCATTCACAGTCCAGGAGGCAATGCTTGACAGCAGGGAGGTAACTGCAAAGGCTCTCAACCTTTCTGCTCCAAGGCCACCACCTTAGGCTACGCAGGTTGGTAGATATGCACACTAGTGTCCCATCTAAAAAAGGTTACTTAAGCTTAGCATATGCTGATGAGAAAGCAGAGGGAATAAATAGAATGATTTTTCGTTCAAGGTTGAAGTTTAAATGGTTAGTTTCAATTGTTTTAAAACTTCTAATGTTCTCTAGGAGGCTGGATAAACGAGATTTTATTGCATTCACTCATTTTCTGATTATTTTTGCAAGCAGTGACAGAAAGTAAAACAAGATGTGTGAAGCCACAGTCTTATAAGACTGGGGAAGAAAATTGATGTGCTGAAATGCGAATACTTGGTTTAAAATGTGTTGTTTCCTAATGAGGCCCCAGAGCATAGTGGTCAAAGCTCCAGGCCAAGGATCTGACTGCTGGCATGGGAATTAGGCTTTTCCCTTCAGTAAATGATGTAGCTTCTCTGTGCCTCAATTTCCTCACCTACAAAATGGGTATAATGAAAGTACCTGATGGGAATACTACTTGTAAGAATTGACACTGGTGGTAACCATCAAGTATCCTTAACCAATATCATTGCTTTTTTTTTTTTTTAACTCTTAACTGCTGTCTGAGGAAGGCACATGATTGAGCTGAGGATGTAAAATGCATGCTTACCAAACTTTTTTAATCTCCAGAGTGCAGTATGTACAGATTTCATGTCAGTGTTAAGATTTTGGCTCTCATTTGTTTATGTCGGTATACTTTTGTTAGTGATCAGGTTGTTCCCCAAATATTTCTTGGGTTGTATTAACTAAAGAAGAAAAGAAGGTAAGATTTTTTTCTGTGTTCCTTGTTTTGTGACTTGACATGCTCAAGTGGAGTGGAAGGAATTGAGGTGGCATGACCTACCTCATGGGCTGTGGCAGACCCAACTCCCTGGGGCTGAGGACTGTGGAATGGGTGTGGGCAGGTGAGCCAAGGCAAACGCAGAAGTCCAGAGCCCCAGTTCCATAATGCAGATCTTGTACCAAATTTCAATGAGAATCATTTTCTACACGAGGAGATGAAATGATGGCGTATGTATAATAAACTCAAGAACAACACTGGGGAGATGGCTTCTTCTTTTTTTTTTTTTTTTTTTTTTTTTCTTTTGTGATTGGTGAGGAATTCTCCTACAGGGTGAATCAGAAAGTCTTGGTAGGAATGTGACTTCCCCCACTGCTCGGAGGAAACTAATTTGTTTGCCAAAGGCCCTGGTAGCCTTCAGTCTGTCAAAACGTTGCAAGCTGGAAGCAGTTGCCAAAGCAAACTATCAAAGTGAAATAACACACGAGCTGCACATGCACACAGACACACACATGCTCTCACATTCCCTGAACATTAATTTCAAATTGGGTCAGGAGGAACAAGGATTTGGGCTAGATTGTTGGTGTGTTGAAAAGGTGTGGGCACAGCTACAGACTACCAATTAGACAGGTATGTGTGAGCAGGGTGGGGTATCCTGAAACAGAGTCTATGAGTAGGGTTGGGAAACTTACGGCCCTTGGTGGAATTTCTTCTGGCCCTTAGGGTTATATATGGCTAGAGTTGTTGCTATTGCAGCCAAAGAATAATGTCCCCAGTGAGGGGATTTCTTCTATTCCATTTAGAGCAGAGCCCATTTAGTAACTAAGATTTTATTCCAGAATGAATTTTATTGGGTACCCCTATGCATTTTAGCCCAGTTCGATGAATAAAAGAAGCATTTGAACATCTAAATACTACTATGTTGCATTTTTGTAACAAGCTACACTAACAGACATTTTGCTGCTATACCTTGCGTCAATCCTATGAGAATGAATTTTGGGGCATCATATAGAAATTAAAAATGTAACTGATTTTTTATAAGATTTTCATCAGAGAGCTTTTAAAAACTTCCCAAATTACTTTGGATATTTTTTTAATATGGCAATTCACACTATTTCCACTTATTTTAACATTTCAAAGGTTGTCAAGATGATGTAGCATCATTCATTAATTCAATGAATTGAGCTCTTACTATATAGTAGACACTGATAAATGCTGGAGATAAAGTAGAGATGAAACAATTCTCAAATCTCCTGGAGCTTATACTCCAGTGAGCAGAGGTGTACTTTAAGTGAATAAAGTCATTGTCTGTGAGATAATAAGTGCTGTGGAGACAAGTATTATCTGGCCTGGGAGAGAAGTGCTGTGTTTTAGGGCCAGGGGTCTTATCTCCATTAGACACCTGAAGGTGAGGGAACAAGCTTCGGAATATCTGAGAGTACAGTTGACCAGGCAGCCTGGAGAGCAGTTCCTCTGAGATGGAGAACTTAGACTCTTCCCTTCTCCAGTCTTTCACGCCCTCTCCTGCCTCAAGTGCCCTGAAAGTGTTGGAAGTGCAATCTAGGATGATTGCAAAATTGTTATGCAAAATTGCTTCTGGTTACATTATAGATGTCTGCCAAAAACTTTGAGGGCCTGGGTTGTAACACATTTATAGAGCTGCTGGGTTTTTTTATTTAAACAAAACCACACCAAGCTGTTTTTAAAAAAATGAGTAACAGTGCCAGGATGTGTTACAAATTATTCAGATTTGTAGGCATGGTTCATAATATGCTTTCTTGCACATTCACTTATTTGAGGTCAGCAGGGCACGCAATATTATTTTCATTTTACAGATGAGGAAACTGAGGCACAGAGGTGATTTGCCCAAGGTCATATAATCAAAGTACATAGACTCCTGAGTCATGATGCACATGTTTCTTGGTTTACAGGACAAATTGGATCCTGTAAGGATATCATTAGAAAAAAGCTGTTTTTGTTTTTTTTCTACCTCCATATGCACACCCACTCCTTTAGACACCCCGGCCCCTTTGCTTTAAGACATCTTGGGCAGGTGCACATCCTTTTTCAGTCCTCATAGACTTTCAGCCCTTCCCTTTGGAATGTGTGTGCATGGAGTACGCTTGGTTCTTGTGCTGGGGCCTCAGCTGTAGCTCAAAGACAACAGCAGGAAGGATGCATTTAACACCTGGTTGCATGTCCCTTCACTTCGCTTCCTGCCCCAGCACAGTCTCTAACCATTTTGTCCATATCCATGCTGTGTGGTCTGTAAGAGCTGGGCTCATTTGCATACAAAATGGGGATTTGGGTATAATTTAGGATTCTTAGAGATGGTAGGAGCCTCTTCTAACTCCATAAGTCCTAAGCCCAGATTCAGACAGGTTTCCTTCTTCATCTCCACTTCCACACAGTGTATTTTCTTGGACAAGGTAGTGTTGTTGTTGTGTATATATATATAGATAGATAGATAGATAGATAGATAGATAGATAGATATAGATATAGAGATAGATAGATATAGATATAGATATAGATATATCTATCTCTATCTATCTATCTATCTATCTATCATCTATCTATATCTCAGTGAGGTGGTTGAGGACCACTGGGTTGCTTGACTTCTGTCCTCAAGGTTAAACTCTAGAATAAAGATTCAAGGCAGCTCAATAGGACCAAAGGCCTTTTGTAGGGATGCTTAAAACAATGCTGTTGGTTTGAAATCAAGGGACTTTGGGCATTTAACTACTTGACAATACTTATCTCCTCTGCCTGCCTGCCTGCCTGCCTGCCTGTACGAGAGTTTTCACCTCGTCAGCATCAGTGATCCGCACAGAAGATGAGCACAAAGAGGCACAGGCAAAGCTGACCCAGCATCACCCAGATGGGAAGGGCGGAGTTGGGATTCTAGCCTCGATGTGTTTGAATCCAAAGCTCACGCTCTCCCAGCACACCCTCTGTTTCAGGGCCAGCTGGCACCTATTTCTGCACCTTCCCTTTATTTGATGACAAGCCCTAAACAGGGCTGGTGATAGTGGGACTTAACACAACTAATCCCACCTAGGGGAGCATATGTGACACCAAGGACCAAGGACTGGCAAGGAAAAGGCTCCAACGACAGCCTGGGTGTGGGAGAGGAACTCCACCGGCCCGGCTCCAACTCTGGAAGCACCCAGCATGCACTAGCACTTACTGTGTCAGACATGGCATTTTATCACATTCAGTCCTCCTCAACCCTTGGGACCAGCTTCTATGCTATCCCCATCTTACAAGGAAGAAGATGAGGCTCGAAGAGGTTAAGTGACCTAGAAACCCTGCTGGTAAATGATATTGATCTGTCCACAGCCCTGCCCACAATCCGCTGCCCTTTGCCTCTTCACTGGGTCACATCCCAGACCCTGCGATGAACTGGTGTCTCCCTTCCAATGATGAGATGGGAAAGCTGCCTTCTGCTGGTGTTGCTGCCTGGAACATGCTCACAGTCCTGCCTGTTGCTGTTTTTCCTTCTCAGAGTCCTGGGTTACCTGCTGCTGTTTGGATTGCAGCTCATCTGCTCACATCCTTCTACTGAACACAGAAAGGTAAGCCATGGCCATTCAGAGGCTTTTCTTCTCTTCACAAGGGCTGGTGTCATACTAGTCACCACCCTGAGTTTTGCTGGTTTTGCAAAGAAGCACCATTTATAGGATGTTCACCAGCCCTCTGAACCCCCCTCAATCCTTGGAGCTTAAAAATGAAGCTCTGATCAGAGGGTGGTGCTGGCTTTGCAGCCTGTGCTTCTTAGAATGGGGCAGTTGAGAAAGGGCAGGGAGAAGACTATATACCTGAGCATGGAGCTTTGCCCTCTAGGACAGCGGTCGCCAACCGGTGGTCCGTGAGGTTCAAAAGGTTGGCGACCGCTGCTCTAAGGGCACATACAGGGGTGAGGGGTGACTGTAGTTGTGGCTATAGAAAAGGACCCCTAATCGGGAGCCATGATTTTTGATAGAGGACACAGCCACTGCCAGCCAGCAGCCAGGCAGGGAGGGAACAGGGAAATTGAAACCTGGCCCTCTCTCTCCTCCTCCCCTTTTTCTCCTGTAGTGACTCCCTTTAGCTGAACCCAACCAAAGACAGAAGATAAAAAACCCTGATGCAGACCTTGAAGGCCAGCTTCCTGGGTCACAGAGCTGGATGGAGAAGGGTCACAGACATCTGGAGGGACAAACAGACAGTGTCCAGCATACTTTCCTCCAGGCTCTGTATGTTTCATAGTAAATGAAATATTCACTGTTGCCTAACCCAGCCTCGTACAGGTGTGTGACGGATGTTTCCTTAGAGGTAGATGCACGATATGGCTCCGAGAGGGTCCGTGGATTTCCTTTCTGCTACCTCATGTCTACCTGTAACAACACTGGCACTTCTGAATTGTGTGATCCAAGTATGACTGAGTTGGTTGTAATCTTTCCTAAAATGGGGTTTTCACAGGGGAACTCCAGGAGAGAAGGGAATGGAGAAAAGTGTGTGTACAAGTTTGCCTAGAGGTGACCCTTCCTGGGAGAAGTTCTTAATATTCTTGTCTGATTAGTCTAATTCCTTTTAGGTTTGTGTATTATGTTCTAGCTTTGTTTTTCTAGGCTAGAGATAAACCTATATTGTATTGTATTCCCCACTCAGATGTCAGCTCCATGAAATTGGAATCTGCCCTACCTTACTTACTGTCATATTCCCAGCTCCTGTAATATTATAGTTGCTCAATAAAATACTTGTTGAATTATTGAATGAATGGAAAACCTGGCCAAGGTCTAAACATCATGTTGGAAATTTACACACAACCTCACCCCCACCCCCACCGGCCTTTGGGTGATGAATATGTCATGGGAGCAAATGGAATTAGCATCCTTATTAGAATTATGAGCTAGCTTGCTCTGCCATGAGAGGATACAGTGAGAAGTCTGCACCCCAGAAGAAGGCACCATGCTGGCACCCTGATCACTGATTCCAGCCCCAAGAACTGTGAGAAATACATTGTGTTGTTTATAAAGCGCCCAATCTATGGTACTTGTTTTTAGAACTGGTAATAATGGAGACTGGAAGAGTTTTGAGGTTACATATCAGAAATGCTTGCATGGCCATGAGTGGACTTTTAAAGGCAATTCCAATAAGAGCTTAGAACAAAAAGAAAACTGTAGAGAATGTCCCTGTCTTCTTAGACAATACTTGATTCATCCAAACAGACTGTGGGTGCAAATATGAAAGGTGTCATTCTGATGATTTCTCAGATGGAAATGAGCAACATGTTATTGGAAACGGGAGGAAAGGTCATGCTTGTCATAAAGTGGCAAAGAGCTTGTCTGAACTGTGTTTGTATTTTGTGGAAGGTAGAACTTGTAAGTGATGAAATTACGTATTTAGCTGAAGCAATTTCTAATGAAAGTGTTAAAAAAGTGACCTCGTTTCTCTTGACTGCTTGTAGTAAAATGTGAAAAGAGAGAAATGACTTAAAGATGGAATTGTTAATTGGTGAGTAAGCAGACTTAATGATTTGGAGAATTCTCAGTTTATTCATCTTGAAAAGAATGAGAAAGCCTGTTTAGGAAAGGACACTAAGGGTGTTGCTGAGAGACCATTTGATAAGGAGAAGAGTAAGCCATCTTGACAGAAGCCAGGAGCTATTGTCCAAAACAATAGGAAAATGCAAAGGAGGGGCTGTTGATGTCTTCTTGACCTGGCTCATCTCTACACCACCTCCCTTGGTGGGTTCCTCTCCCTGCACTCGGATGCTGAGCAACTGGGCTGTCCCAGGGCTGCTTCAGTGGCTGGATGAAGTGGTCTCAGGACCCCAATCCTGGAGAGCCACAGTGGGTAGAGGGCTGCTCAAAGCTGTTGGGGCAGGCTAGTCTGGGGCCTTGGGGCCCCAACCTCTGTCCAGCAAAGCTGCAGGCTGGACCACTGCCCTAGTGGCCTGGATGGCATAACATCAAGCCAAAGAGGATTATTCTTTAGCTTTAAAGTTTAATGGAATTTGCACTGCTGGGTTTTAAACTTGCTTATAATCTCTCTTTCCTTTCTACTTTTCTCTTTCTCCTATTGGATGGGAATGTCCTATGCCTGTTCACCAGTGTATTTTGGAAGCATGTAACATATTTGATCTCACAGGTTCTAAGCGGGAGAGCAGTTTGCCACAGGATGAATCATACCTTCAGTTTTATCCATACTCATTTAGGTTATATTTAAATGAGACTTTGGATCTAAACTTTATTTATTATTTATATATTTATTTAATTCTTTATTGTTTAAAGTATTACATATGTCTCCTTTCCCCCACATTGACCTCTCCTCGGCCACTCCCACCCCCCAGCACATGCCCTCATCCCCCTACTGTTTTTGTTCATTGGTTATGCTTATATGCATGCCTACAAATCCTTTGGTTGATCTCTTTCTACCCCTACCCCCCTCCCCTGCCTTTCTCTGAGGTTTGATGGTCTGTTCGATGCTTCTCTGTTTCTGGATCTATTTTTGTTAATTAATTTATGTTTTTGATTGTATTCCACAAATGAGTGAGATCATGTGATATTTATCTTTCTCTGACTGGCTTATTTCGCTTAGCATAATGCTCTCCATGTTCATCCATGCTGTTGCAAATCACAAGAGCTCTTTCCTTTTTACAGCAGTGTAGTATTCCATTGTGTAGATATACTAAAGTTTTTTAAGCCACTCTTCTGCTGATAGGCACTTAAGCTGTTTCCAAATTTTAATTATGGTGAATTGTGCTGCTATGAACATGGGGGTGCATATATCCTTTCTGATTGGTGTTTCTGCTTTCTTAGGATATATTCCTAGAAATAGGATTACTGGGTCAAAGGGGAGTTCCATTTTTAGTTTTTTGAGGAAACTCTGTACTGTTCTCTACAGTGGCTGCACCAGTCTGCATTCCCACCAGCACTTGGAGGGGTGACTGCAGAGGTCTGTAACGGTCCTCCTCAAGGATGTAGTTTAGTACTGGTTAGCACACATATGTGAGGAAATAGCCTGAGACAAGGAAAGAACCTCCTAATGGACTAAAGGAAACAGTAACTCTTTTTCCACCATTCAGACTTTAAAAACTCATAATCCAGGAACCTCTGGAGAGAATATAGAGGAAAATGTCACCTTGTTACTGGGGGAATAATGAAAACCCTAAACTGTGCATTGTTTTGAACCTAACAAATCCTAAAAGTCCTACTGGGAAGGATCCAATTATTGTTAAATAATTTAATTATCTTAGCCCAAAGCTCATGAATATAGGAGTATAAACATATCCAGAATCTAAAAAGGTAAAGTTCACCATGTCTTACATTTCATTAAAATTACCAGGCATGTGCAAAAGCAGAAAAATACTCTTGTTATTCTTCACATTGGGGAGAATTATCAATTGATTGACACCAACTCAGAACTGACACAGATTTAGAATTTAAAAATTAAGATATTAAATGTTATTAAAACGGTATTCCATATATTAAAAATATTAGTGGAATAGAAAATATTTTTTAAAAAACCTCATCAAACTTCTCAATATGAAAATGACACAGTTTGAAATGAAAAATATACTAGGACTGAATAATTGTAGATTAGATAGTGCAGAAGAAAAGATAAGTGAACTTGAAGATTTAACATTAGAAACTTTCAAAAATGAAACAAAGAAGTAAAAAAAAAATAGTTTTAAAAGATGAACAGAACGTCAGTGAGCTCTGGGACCACTTCAAGTGTTAACTTGAGTACCAAAAGCAAAGAAATGGGAAAGGGGGCGTTCCATAAAATATATATTTAAAATATTGTTAAAAATTTACTAATTTCATGAAATTATAAACCCAAGAATGTCAATAAAATCTAAGCACTAAAAATATGAAGAAAAATACACTTAGTCACCCCTTAATCAAATTGCTGAAAACTAGTGATAAAGAGAAAATTTTTTTTAAGTTTCTATAATAGAACAAGATACATGTTACACAAAAACACAGATAAGGATGACAGCACATTACCTACTATTATTTATACAAGTGAAGCAATATCTTCAAAATACTGAAGCAATGAAATTGTCAACCTAAAATTCTGTATATAGAAAAATATCTTTTAGAAATAAAAATAAACGAAAGATATTTTAAGATATACAATGCTGTATTATATGTGTACCATAAGAACTGTTAAGGGGGTTCTTTAGGAAGAAAAAAATGATATTAGAAGGAAATATGGGTCTATAAAAAGGATGAAATGCACCAGAAATAATAACTATGGGTAAATATGTAAGGTTTAAAATATTGAATCTGCTTTAAAGACTGACTCTTTAAATAAATGTAGTTATAATGTATTGTGAGATTTATAACACATGTATAATTAAATAATATGATTAAAATGGGATTAAATTAGAAATCAACAGAAAGATAACTGGAAAATTCCCAAATATTTGGAAATTAAATAACACACTGCTAAATAATTCATGGGTCAAAGAAGAAATGAAAGGGAAATTGCTGACCTAACTAAAGTTGAAAACACAAAATATTAGAAATTGTGGGATGTTGTTAATAAAACACCACTTAGTGGGAAATTTATATAACTAAATACC